ACATGACGAGCGAGGACCATAGGCTGCTTAGTTACTCCTGTTTAGTTTAAGTCATTGGTTAAGGTCTTATGTTGTGGCCAATAAACGGTTTATTTGTATTTGAATAATTGTGAGATTTTTTTTTCCTTGTGGTTAGTTTTGCTTCGAGATAGGTGTCTGTTTGAGTTTTATTCCATTTATTTAGTTTTATATAGATTGAATAATAAACTTGCCTCGTGATGTAGTTCACGAATGTTGTTGAATGTTATTCCATGAGATTGATTTATCGTTAGATTGATGGGGATTGAAACTTGATTTTATAAGTTTGTGTGCATAGGAAGTTGGCAGGCTGTAGTCGGGGTTAAATTTGATTAGTTGGGTAGTTAATGTGACCTAGAGGTGTGCAGAAAATTCTGGGTCGTTACATTCTGACTCATTGCCAGTCATGATATTCTGCATCGCATGTGAAACGACTCCTTCAACTGTTTCAGAAGGTGCATTCCCACTCACTGTATAGGACTCATGAACATGTTGACCTTCATTCTCATAATGGTCTTCAAGCACATCCTCCTCCCAATTGTCATACCCGTTCCCACCATTATTCTCAACCCCATCCTCGATATGATATTCATCATAATCATACTCATCATCGCTCTGAAACTCGTACTCAACATCATTCTCGTACAATTGACCATAACATGGAGATTCGTTGTCTCCTAGGTTACATGGGACAACGTTATTGGTCAATGGTGTAACCTGTGGGACAAATGAAGGGGGACCGACATCGTCCAGAGGAGAGTGAATAGAAATAGAAGGGCCGAAACATGGATCATTCTGCCCTGGGTAGTATGCGAATGAAGACAATATATGGGTTTCCAAAAAAAATTTCCTTTCTTGTTCCCACTACCATATGATGCTTTAGGTACGACGGTTACGTACAATGGTACTTGTGATGGATCGGGAGGGCCATTAAAATAGAATCTCAAACTAGTATCATCAAATATCAGATAGTTCGGGACTTTGTACTGAAAATAAAATCTGTATACACACTGTACAACAAGATCAAATTGGTCAGGATCAATTCTAGTAAGCATGTGCAAGACACTTACTAAGTTGACATATGTTATCGTTTCATCAACATCAAGCCCACCAATGACGCCACCTTTGTACACCGTACCGGCCTCGTTCCACTTGCCACCGTAGATCACAAATAATCGATGCATCCTGCATGGATAATAATAATCACACACAAGTAATTAGTAATCAAAGTTGCACACCACGGTCGTGATAGTTTAAGACACGCCCGATAATATAAAGGTATACAACCACGGTTGGGGACACCCACAACCACGGCCGAGAGAACGCACTACCACGGCCGTGAATTAAGCAATAAAGAACAGCAGCCGAGAGAACGTACTACCACGGCGTGAATTGAGCAATAAAGGACCACGACTGAGGGAACATACTACCACGGTCGTGAATCGAACAATAAAGGACCACGGCCGTGAGACAATAAAATGATGTCTATGTACAACCACGACCAAGGCAACCTACAACCACGGTCGCGAATCGAACATAACGGACCATGGCTGTGAGGCGATTAAAGGTATCTTCTGTATACAACCACGACCGAAATAACCCAATACCACGGCCGTGAATCAAACAAACATGGACCACGGCCGTTAAACGAAGAAACACGACCGAGTTTCATTGACTTAGGGAACTTTTGACCCACAAAAATACACATAAAAGTTCAGAAGTTCCATTCACTCCAACTACATACATCATATTCTAAACGAATCGAAAACAATATTATGAACAAATCAAAAACTAACCTCGTTCAAGATGCCAAAGATAAAAAATTGACTTCCTTTAAGGTACTCAAGATGTGAAAAATGTTGGAAAAGGTATGAAAGTTCTTGAAAAAACGTGAAAGATGTGCATGAGGACAATAAGGACTGAAACATACTTTTATTCTCTATAATCTATGCGAATGTGTGAGTATATATTAAATGATAGTACAAAAATTTGGTGGAGAACTAATAAGTTGGTGGTACTTTAATAAATTCACGACCATGAATCAAATCGAACTCGTCTATGGTTTTAATTACACCAAGTTACGTGATTCGAACTATTTCCATGCAAGATTGATTGTAGTTTAATTAATTTAGTGATATATTCGTCATTACATCTTCTTTGAAATGTTAGAAAAGTTAAAATTGGGTCAGAAGAATTGAAAACTTTTGTATCTGCCAATTTCCGGATTCCCTTCAATTTCGAGAAGGTGGTGTTATCAGAATTTCTATTATTTAGGTCACAAAATCCAATCCAATAATACATTTATATATTTTTTAAAAACAATTCTTCCAAACACAAATCCACTGAATATCGGACAATTTCAAGGGAAATTTGACAAAATAAACGTTCTGTAGGTGCCTCTCTAAAACACAAGTTTTCTAGTAACTGCTGACATCACATACTTTGTTAAATGACATTTCATGCCCCTCCTTACTTTTTCTTCTCTTCTAGACTCCATCTCTCTTTTCTCTCCCCTCCTCTCTCCTCCATTTCTTAGATTTGCTTGATTTTGTCCATGATTTCTACACAACACACACCAGTTTTTGGCGTCTCCGCTAGGAATTCAACGAGTGGAGGTCCCGATCGGTTGCCGTCCGCTGCTTCCATCCCGAGCTCTTGCGCCTCCCTGGTGGCCTCTCCGGCGACATTGTTGAACAAGAATAATTTGCATATGAAATAAGATAAAAATTTCCTTATTATTTTTCCCAACTCTTTCACCTCCTCTTCTAAAATCAAATTTTCAAGATTTCAAAAACTTTCCTTCTATATCTCTTGCACGTCCCTCCTGTCCGGACTATCTTCTTCTCCATGAAACCAAATGCGTCGAGGAGGGAAGGGAGAAGAGAGAGGAGAGAAGAGAGAGGGACAAAGCGAGAGCGACGTCATCGATAG